AGAATCACGATCATGCTGTCTGACTAATTCTGTCTTGCAGGCAATTATTCTTATGTGTTGGTGTTGGTTTGTGGGCTGGCCTTATCATTGGATTCGTGACAGAGTACTACACTAGTAATGCTTACAGGTACTTATTTCTACTTTGCTTTTGTTAAATTGGGTGTAACTCCCAAAAGGACCCCCAGAGTATGTTACTGGCATCTTAAGGGTATGGATTAATGGGTCCAAACTGACTCTGAAATGGTTTACCGCAAAAAATCAAGTGGGAGTGCACCTTCCAAACCACCAAGAGACCAGGCTGCGATGTCTTGTTAAGTCGAAAGTTGTGGTTTACCTTACATTTATTATATACTACTAGAATCAAAACCAGTCAACAACAACCAATGTGTGATGCTCAGCACAACCTCTCAATTCTTGACAAATTGGACACCTGAAGTAATGAACAAAGTAGCTTACACAGACCCAAAATGAGATACAATTGGATCAGGTTATGGTATATCATGTTAGTTAGTATAGTGCACCCCATAGAATCATCACACTTATACGCTACATCCAAACCTGGTAGACAACTGATGTGTGATACTCAACAACCTTTATCTTATTTTATTAGTATCCATCATAAATTGCTACTCTTGTCCCTTTTGTTTACCAGCCCTGTGCAAGATGTTGCTGATTCCTGCCGCACTGGAGCTGCCACAAATATTATTTTTGGCCTTGCTTTGGGATACAAATCTGTTATCATTCCAATATTTGCAATAGCAGTCAGCATCTTTGTCAGCTTCAGCTTTGCTGCCATGTATGGAATTGCTGTCGCCGCCCTTGGTATGCTTAGCACCATTGCAACTGGTTTGGCTATTGATGCATATGGTCCCATCAGTGACAATGCTGGAGGCATTGCAGAGATGGCTGGTATGAGCCATAGAATACGTGAGAGAACTGATGCCCTGGATGCCGCTGGAAACACTACCGCTGCTATTGGGAAGGTAAACTTTATATCCCCATCATATATCTTGTTCAAGCTAAATACCCTCTCCCCCAAATTTTCGTGTCTATTTTACTCTATATTCTTTCGCTAACATTCCGGATTCCAAACGAACCTCTAAGGCCATGTTAAATTTTCAGCAACATGCAAACACAAGTTTCACTTGCATTCCATATTTATAAGATCCTTGATGCATCCAAGTGAACAATTTCAGGGATTTGCAATTGGGTCTGCCGCACTCGTGTCTCTTGCCTTGTTTGGTGCATTTGTGAGCCGTGCTGCAATTTCAACCGTAGACGTTCTAACACCTAAAGTCTTCATTGGTTTGCTTGTGGGTGCAATGCTTCCTTACTGGTTCTCTGCCATGACGATGAAAAGTGTGGGTAAGGCTGCCCTTAAGATGGTTGAGGAAGTGCGCAGGCAATTCAATACCATCCCAGGTCTCATGGAAGGCACTGCTAAGCCTGATTATGCCACATGTGTCAAGATCTCTACAGATGCCTCTATCAAGGAGATGATTCCACCTGGTGCTCTTGTCATGCTTACTCCACTAATAGTTGGGATCTTCTTTGGTGTAGAAACCTTGTCTGGAGTCCTTGCTGGATCCCTTGTCTCTGGTGTACAGGTGATTTTATTGATAACTCTAACAGTTACCCTCTATTTGTGCTAGAAATATAAATAAAAGTTGCTCCATATTGATAGTTGAAGGGTTTATGTGTAAATTTGGTGTTTATAGGTTGCCCTAAAAATCCTCCAGATGTAAGGTTCTATTAAACTCAAACCAAGTAGACAACTGATGTGGGATACTCAATGCACCTCACTCAGTATAGGCCAGGTTGCACGCCTAAATAGGGGGCTGAATGGGTCGAAATCGACTCTCAAATGGATTACCCCAAATCATTGAGTTGCCCGGCCACCCCACTAATCATATGACCAATCTCTGTAGCTATATTTAATTTGAACCTACTCACACCTATAATGGACTACAAACGCAATAGACTATCAAACTGATTGTAGCAAGCCAGAAACCATGTTCTTTAGTTGGTGTTCTAATTAGTCGTGTATGGATTTGAATAGATTGCTATCTCTGCATCAAACACTGGTGGTGCCTGGGACAATGCTAAGAAGTATATCGAGGTAATTTGTCTAAACCTGGTCTTTTATGCTATTTTTGGAACTCTGAAAAAGATGAGGAAAAGGTAATGCAAGAATAAGAAGGAAAATGGTTTCTCTTTTCTGTGTTTTTCTTTGCGAGGGAAAATACCAAAGAAAAGGTTTTTTTAACTATTAAAGTGTTGGCACATATTCAGATTTCTTAGTCTTTAACTTTATAAAGCAGAAACCTCTAAATAAAAAGGATTTTGAAAAAATATGTAAATATTGGTTTTTGAGCTTGAAGAATTTTTTAAATTTCTTCAATTTTCTTTTCTTCCAAGTTTTTCTTTACATACCCTTGTTTTTTTCCACAGCTTATCCTGGCTCCCAACTGAACCTTGCAATTCTCATACCAGCCATAAAACTGAGTCTCAAGATTTCTAATAAAATTTTCATTGCTTCTCTTTACACAGGCCGGTGCTTCAGAACATGCCAGAACCCTTGGCCCCAAGGGGTCTGATCCGCACAAAGCTGCTGTGATTGGTGACACCGTTGGTGACCCTCTTAAGGACACATCGGGACCATCATTGAACATTCTTATCAAGCTTATGGCTGTGGAGTCTCTTGTTTTCGCACCCTTCTTTGCTGCACATGGTGGTCTTCTCTTCAAGATCTTCTGAGAACCTTGGGTTGTATTCCTGCCAAAGTGTATTCCGTTCTTTTTGCCTACAACTTGTACCTTTAATGTGATTTCTTTTTGCGCATGGTTAGATTCTTGGAGAGAAATGTCCACCTATGATGGCGAAAATTCATAAATCTATGCTAGAGTACATTTGTTTTGTTCTTCGCTTCACTGTGTTGGCCCGTCGGCCTGTCTCAATTCACCTGTGGTTTTGGTTAATATTTTTTGTCAGATTCAGATATGCTCAAAACAGTACACAATTCCATTTCTTAAAATGCTAAAGCTCTAGTTGGTTTCATGTAGGGATACATTTGGTCTAGTTCCAGCCTTCCAGGTCCTTGGTAGATGCTACATTGCTACCATTACCAGAACTGTTATAGACTTATAGTTGGTCTAGTTCTGGTTTTGCTTCTTGGTCAGTTCCATTTTTGGCAGTGGTGGATTTGGGCTGGGTCGGGTCCGGGCCGGGCCTAGGCCTGGGCGGGCCGCTGGTTCTGAATAGTTGGGCCCGGGACCGGCTTGGGTAGCTACCGGGTCCGGTCCGGGTCCGCTTTGCCTTTTCTAATCAACCCCCGACCCCCACCGTCACTCCCCCCCCCAAACACCCAGCCCAACCCGTTGGATTAAAAAAATGAAAAAAAAAAAATTGATTTTGGCCCGAACCGGGCCCGGGCCGGGTCTCGTTTTGGCAGCCCCATGCGGCCGTGCCCGGCTTTTCCTGATTTTCCCTTCTCTTCAATCTTCATACTGTTATGTGTTATTCTTCAAAGCATTTACCTCCTTCGAACTCCCAAACATAATTGAATTAGCTATTTTAGGGAGTGTTTGCAACCGTTTAAAAAAAACGCTTCTCAGCTTTTGATTTAAAAAAACACTTGTTTATCCAACACTACTAATTTTTTCTTTTTTTCGACTTGCGTGTGAAAAATGCTTTTCTTTTTTCTATTACACAAAAAACACTTATTTTATCAAATACTATCAATTTTTACTTTTCAAAATCACTTTTTTCTCAAATCCTATCAACTTTTACTATTAATCACTTTTATCAACTCACTCCAAAAGTGCTCTTTTAAGCAGAAGCAATTGCAAACACTCCCTTAGGGGTTTCTTTTAATTACTAAATAGTATAAATGCATAAAAATGTACATGTTAATTACTTTTAAAACATGTCAATGTGCGGATTAAGACCTTGTTTGGTTCAAAGGAGGGGAGAGTCAAGGAGGGATGGAAAGAGAAGGGGAAGGAAGGATTTTGATAAACATTTGTGTTTGGTTAGAGGAAATAAGAGAAAAGATTTAATGAAAGTATTTTCCCAATTTACCTTTATTTGATAGTTTGCTTAAAAAAATAGATATCTCTAACTATTGTGAATATTACTCCTAAGGTCATGCATGAGTCATACATGTAATAATTTTTTTTTTGAATTTTTGATTGTTTACTTTTATAATTTTTGATTTTTTATTTTTTAATTTTTCATTTAGAAATTTTCATTTTTGAATTTTTGTATTTTCAATTTTTGAGTTTTTCAGTTTTTAATTTTTTAATTTTTTTAGTTTTTAAATTTTTTAATTTTTTAATTTTTGAATTTTTGAATTTTTAAATTTATTGTTTTTAATATTTTAATTTTTATGTTTTAACTTTTACCTTTTTTATATTATACTCCGTAACCCTCCAACCAAACAAGGCCTAAATGTCTCGTTTAGTGAGATCACCATGGTCAATCGCCCTTCGTCCCTTCCACTAGATTCGTGACTTTCTCAACAAAATTCCTTCACTAGTGGCTGCGATAGTTGGAGTTATATTTTGATGATTTTTCCCTTCATAAGAGTAAAAAATACGGAGTAATATAATATTTCAAAACCAGAGCATTCTTTCCCTAAATAGTCTTGATTGGAGTATGATTTCAGTATACTAGTAATTATTCCTGTTTAGCACAATACATATTCCTGTTTAGCACAATACATATTACTGGTATTTTAAAATATCACACTATTTTTACTCATACTTCGATGCCCCCTTTATAATACTTCCTTCGTCCCTCTAACAATACAACAAGAGGGAGTGTCACGCATACCTATAAAATTGAGTTTATGTAGTTGATAGTGAATTGATAAAGTAAGAATAAAGTAAAATAATTTACAATCACACAAATTTTACTAAATTTGATATATGACAATCTCAATGAGGGAGTATAAGATTATATTATCTATAGGTACAAGTCACTTTTATAGAAACACACGGTGCAAATGTAAACACTCAATTTTTTTTTTTTTTTTGAAAGAAAAATTTGGTGATTTAGATTCAAAATAAACAATTATTTTGCAATTCGGTTAAAAAAATTAAACAATCATTTTTAATATTTAGAGAATACACATTCGGTGATTTAGATTCAAATGCTGCAACCAATGACACAAAATAACAACCATTTACACTATCAATAAGGATGGTGATCTATATAGATGAGTCCAATCTAGAAGGTAAACTCTCTTCATCTCTTCTTCACTTTTGCAATTTGTTTCTCATAAACTTGCAATTTGGGGTAAAGCGCAGTAGATTTTTTCGCCGAGAGGAGGTTTTTCTTCAGTCGTATTCAAGATAGCTGAGTTAGCTGAGCCTTTCTTATCTTAGGATCCCGTTTGTACCTTTGATTTTGAAAATAAAACTAATAAGGGCTGTCCACAAGATAAAAGTTACCCTCTCCACAGTCCACAAGATTGAGACAAAAAAGGAATAGTTCAATTTTTAAGAAAAATGGAATCATACTGCGAATAACATAAGAATTAGCAGTTTTCTTCCCTAGCTCTCTAGGGTTTGGCGTTTAAAGAGAATACGTTGTTTGGTTACTATTCCCAGGATGGCGGACACCATGGAAGAATTGTACGCAAAGCTTAATCTGGAAGAGGAGGACGCAGAAGAGATCGATGTCAGTGAGGCAGTTTTGAGTCCCGCACAGGTAGGTCCTTCTTTTCTGGCTGTTGGACGGATTTTGACGGATAAGCAGGTCAAATTCCCCTACTTCAGGGACACCATGGCTGATGTTTGGCGACCGGGGAGGGGAGTCCATATCAGGGATTTGGGTGAAAGACGTTATCTCTTCCAATTTTTTCATGAAGTTGATATCAACAGAATTATGGCGGACACACCTTGGTCTTTTGACAACAATTTGTTGATTTTGAGCCGCTTGGAAGCTACAGATAATCCTATGAAGATTTCCCTATCACACGAAAATTTCTGGGTGCAGGCCTATAATCTCCCAATGTCGTTCTTCACAGAAAAGATGGCAAAACTTATTGGCGACTATGTAGGACAGTTTGTTCATGCTGATGAGAACAATTTCAAGGGGGGTAGGAAACTGTTCATGAGAATAAGGGTCAGAATGGATGTTCAGGCTCCACTCAAAAAACGAATGAGAGTTAGAAACGGTACAGATGTTCATTGGGTGGATCTCAAATACGAAAGATTGCCACATTTTTGTTTTATTTGTGGTAAGTTGGGGCATGTTGATCGTTTCTGTCCCAAGTGGTTGGACGGGTTTAAAGCTGATCAAGAGAAGCCTTTCGGGGTTTGGTTGAGAGCAGGTGGGAGAAAGGGTGGAGGGGCTGGAGGTAGTATGTGGCTAGTAGATGAAGAAGGGAGGGCATTGGGGAAGTCCGGAGAGGGGAGGGCAGAGAGTCTCCCAAAGCAGATCATTACAAATATTTATGGAGGGAAGAATGAGCTGGGCAGTGCAGCAAATTCAGATGTCGAATTAGAGGAAGGAGATGGCGTTTGATAGTGTGTCAGCCACATAAGGAGCCAAATACAGGGGGAGTTTGGAAAAAACGAAAGGCTTGCGGAGAAGGTGAGAATCAGAGGGAGTTGATGGACGAGGACAAAGCTGAAGATCTGCCAAAAAACGTATTAGAGGCGGGACCTGGATTCCAGGCCCGCCTGACATTATGACGTGCTTAAGCTGGAACTGCCGGGGGCTCGGCAACCCTTTGGCAGTTCAAGTTCTGGTGGACTATGCCCACTCCAAGCGGCCAAATATTGTATTTTTAATGGAGACTTTTTCTAATAAATTAAAGCTTGAGGAGGTTACGAGGAAAGTGGGATTGACATCCTGTTTCGCAGTGGATAATATCGGTCATAGGGGTGGATTAGGCCTTCTTTGGGGTGATGGTGTCATAATCCAAGTTCGGGAAGCTTCTTCTCATTTCATTGATGCTGTTGTGCAACTTGAAGTAGGTGCCCCTCAGTGGCGTTTTACTGGCTTTTACGGGTGCCCGGAGAGATCAAGGAGGAGGGAATCTTGGGATTTGCTGAAGTCCCTTAGCACACGATCAGATTTACCTTGGTTAGTAATGGGAGATTTTAATGATCTCATGTTTGCAGACGAGAAGAGAGGAAGGATTCCCCCATCCTCCTTGGTTACTTCGGGGGTTCAGGGAAGCTGTTTGGGCTAGCGGTCTTAGCAACTTTCATTTTGAGGGTTACCAGTTTACATGGGAGCGGTGGAGGGGAACCCCGAATTGGGTAGAGGAGAAACTTGACAGAATTCTTACCTCAGAAAGTTGGTTGGACAGCTTTGGAAATGCAGCGGCAGAAACTTTGGAGGGCTCTCCGAGTGACCACATGGCTTTAGTTATAAAGCTTCAGCCGGTTAGAGGAGTTAGAAGAAGACGGAGATTTAAGTTTGAGAATGTCTGGTTGAAGGAAGCTGACTGTCGGGAGGTGGTGGTGAGGGGGTGGTTTATGAGGAGAGAGAGGGGAGTTGTGGGTCAGATTGAGGACTGCAGAAGGGAGGTGGGATCATGGGGGAAAGATCGTTGTGGCGATTACAGTAAGCGTATAGGTTTCTGTAGGAAACGACTGAATTACCTGCGGCTGAAATCTGATGTTTGGAGTACGTTAGAATTTAACAAGGTAAAGGCTGAATATATAAACCTCCTGGAGAAGGAAAATCAGTTTTGGAGGCAAAGGGCGAAAGAGTTCTGGTACAGGGGCGGAGACCTTAATACACGTTTCTTCCATAATGTTGTGAAAAGTAGAAGAAGGAGAAATAGAGTGGAGGGATTTAAGTTAGATGGTGGGAGGTGGGAGCGTGATCGGGAGGAGCTGGGAAGGATGGTGGAGGATTATTTTATCAATATCTTTACTTCTGTGCAGGGAGATCGCGAGAATGTTCTCAGATGTGTGTCGTCTAAATTGGAGGCTCATCACAATCTGGAGCTATTAAGGCCGATTCAGTCAGAAGAGGTTAAGGTAGCGGTTTTCTCTATGCACCCGGATAAATCTCCTGGCCCAGATGGCATGAGCCCTGGCTTTTTTCAACATTTTTGGGATGTGCTTGGTCCGGACATTGTGGATTTTTGCAAAACCTCTTTTAATACAGGGCACTTACCAGAGAAGGTAAATCACACCCACATTGTGTTAATACCTAAAAAGGATAAACCGGAGGTCATAGGAGATTGGAGGCCTATTTCACTTTGTAATGTTATTTATAAGATATTTGCAAAAGTTTTGGCCAATAGAATGAAAGGTCTTCTCCATATCTGCATTTCTGAATTTCAGAGTGCCTTTGTACCTGGTCGTTCTATAGTGGACAATGTTATGCTTGCTTTCGAATCCCATCATTACTTAAGGAGGAAAAGGCAAGGTAAAACGGGGTATGCCGCTCTAAAGTTGGATATGAGTAAGGCATACGATAGGGTTGAATGGGATTTTCTGGAAGGCATTATGCGACGACTGGGTTTTGGAGATAGATGGGTAAGTCTAATTATGAATTGCATATCTTCTGTCTCCTATTCAATACCTTTTGATGACGGGGAATTGGGACCGATATGGCCATCTAGAGGACTGCGTCAGGGGGACCCATTGTCGCCTTATTTATTCATCCTAGTGGCAGAAGGATTGAGCACTCTTATTAGTCGGGAGGAGGCAAGAGGGCGGATTCATGGAGTATCTATTGCTAGAAGAGCTCCACGAATTTCCCATCTTTTCTTCGCTGACGACAGTTTGTTATTTTTTCAGGCAACTCATAGAGAGGTCACTGCCGTTCGAGAAATTCTTCATGCTTATGAAACAGCATCTGGGCAAACCATCAACTACAACAAATCTAAATTTTTCTTCAGTGCAAACGTACCAGCTCACATCCAGGAGGGGCTTATGGAAGTAATGAGAGTAGAGTATGCAGGGAATGAAGAAAAGTACTTGGGTCTGCCGGCGTTCTTTGGGAAAAGGAAGAAAGAAATACTCAGTTACATTAGGAATCGGGTGGTAAGTAGAATACAAAATTGGAATAGTAAATTTTTATCCCGGGCAGGGAGAGAGATCATGTTGAAAACGGTTATCCAGGCTATGCCGACCTACACAATGAATGTCTTTTTGTTGCCTCTTGATCTTTGTCGGGAATTGGAAGTAATGATGAACGGATATTGGTGGAAAGGAAAGTCAGAAAAAGGGATAAGGTGGAGGAATTGGGACTCTCTGTGTAAGCCCAAGAAATATGGGGGGATGGGGTTTAGAAAGATCAGAGATTTTAATCTTGCCATGTTAGCTAAACAGGCTTGGAAATTACAAACAGAACCGGAATCATTGGTGAGCAGAGTGTTCAAAGCAAGATACTTTCCTGATGGGTCTTATGTGACTGCCAAGATTGGAGGAAGCCCCTCATTCATATGGAGGAGCTTATTTGAGGTGCAGAATATCATAAAGAAAGGATCTAAATGGCGAGTTGGGAATGGGAATCATATTAATGTTTGGAGAGACTCTTGGTTGCCAGACAAGGTAAATCCAAAAATTACCTCGGTGTGTGTTGAAGGGCTGGAGGAAGCAACTGTAGCGGGCCTGCTAAATTCGAAAGGAGAGGATTGGGATTTGGATATACTGAAGGATTTGTTCAATGAGCGAGACATTGATCTTATAAGGAGTATTCCTATTAGTAATAGGCTGGTGGAGGATCGGTTGATCTGGTCTGGGGAACAAAATGGATGTTTTTCCGTGAAAAGTTGTTACAGACAGGTGGTGGGGGAGTTCAGGCCGGAAGAGTGGCTGGGATGGACAGCCATGTGGAAATTTCAATTGCCTCCAAAAATCAAGCATTTCTTTTGGCAGGTATGCACTAATTGTCTGCCAACTACCAGCAATCTTATAAGAAGGGGTGTGGAATGTCGGGCTCTATGCGGTCTCTGTGGAGATGAAGGAGATGAATCGCTCCTGCACTTATTTGTTACCTGTCGAGAAGCAAAGGAAGCTTGGAGGGCTGTGAATTGGCGTCAAGTTAACCAATCAGTCTCAGCTTTTCCTGATTGGTTACAATTGAATTTTCAAAGCTTGCAGGAGAAAGAACTCACCCGATTGATTCTTGGTTGCTGGGGAATTTGGAGGGAGCGGAACCAAAGAGTATGGAACGGAAGTAAGCTGGACAGAGCCCAAATTTTGAGGAAAGCTGAAGCATACGTTGAAGGATGGAGTATGGCGCAGCTTCCGAAGTTGGCTTCAGGCAGCAGATGGGGTGTGTGTTCTTCTCTGTGGCAGCGACCTGGAATGAATTGGGGGAAGGTGAACACGGATGCCTCTGTTAGAAATGGAGGGTGTGGCTTTGGTTAGGTGTTGAGGGATGCTTCTGGAATTTTTTTGGCAGGGGGGTGCAAAACGGGAGCTGGCAACTTTACCCCTCTTGAAGCAGAATTAATTAGCATAAGAGAAGCACTCAGTTGGCTTAAAAATTGGGAGTGGAATCAACTAGAGATTGAATCAGATTCTCTCCAAGCTATTCAGGAAATACGAAGCGGTACCGGCCTATCCTACTCGGCTCTTTTGGCAGGTGATATTCGAGAATTGAAGAGGAGCTTTGCCACAGTGTCCTTTTCTCACATTCGACGATCCGCAAACCGCGCAGCTCACGCCATGGCAAGAGCAGCGGGATCTGTGTCTGGTTGTCAACTTTGGTTATTTGATCCTCCTCGTTTTTTGACTGATGTACTGGACTATGATTTGATAAATAGTAATTAAGTTTTTTCTTTCAAAACTAATAAGGGCTGTCAAACCCTTAATTACCCCACCGGTTTGGTGATCACTTTTTGGGTATGAAAAGAATTCTCCTTGTGGTTTATTCCTACCCAAGTGTTCTATTATATTCTCTACGGACACTACAAGTGATATCTTCTTTATGATTTTACTTTACCACGATATTATTACATGATTGGAGCTTCTTCTCATTCATCCTTGTTTCTAGTTGATGAAATGCCTTACATATTTAATACTTCGTACTACGTATGTGTTAGTTGATGGTAAACTGTAGAAGTGTAGAGTACTTCCCTACAAAAAAAAACTAATACTCCATCCGTCCAAACAGTGCAGGACCTAGGGAGGGGCCTAGGGGGCAAGTGCCCATTGCTTACGACCATGAAGTTTAGTATTAGTACTTAAGATAAAAATTGTGACCCTGCTATACGCGCAAAAAATTAGAATATTTTCATAATATTACCGGAATATAACTAATGAATAGAATCATGATCACTAAAATTGCTATGGTAGTACCTAAGTCATATTTTGGTCCACTACTTGAAAAAATGTGTCAATTCGCGATAAATTAGTTTCAAACTGACAGAGATCCTTTAAAATTTTTCTATAATAAGATACTCGTAAAAGGTAGATATATAGAGATAACCAAGCATTCCAGCTCAGTTGGTTGTGAGGTTACCGTGCCTAGTGGGAGGTCTCGAGTTCGAATCCCGCTAGGCACACAAGGGTTGGGAACTAAATGGAGTGAGTTTCAGCCCTGATTATTCCAGGCCCCCCTGGAGTAAAAAAAAAGTAGATATATAGAATCATATTATTGATAAAGTTGTATTAAACGATGAAATCCTAAACTTGACTTATACTTCATTTTTAACACGATAGTATTATATTTTAGACAAGCAACAACAAATTTTGTGGCACAATGTATAACAACGTCATGATCCTATTTCACATATGAAATCTTGAGCATTTTATAGTATGAAAAATAACGAAAATTCTAATGTAAAATCAGAAACGGCGCAAAGATGAGTCGTTTACAATCCGTCAAATTATGTCTTTCCTTCAAAAAGTCAAATATTATTGTTTAGAATTGTCTTAATGAGTTCACGATTAGACTTATAATTCATATATATTCATTGCTTGACGTCGGCATTGAATAATTTATTTTCAGTTAAAAATATAAATTTGAACTCACTTGACAAAAAAGACCAATGATACACCCAATAATTCGACCCGACCCGATCCATTTTCATCTATGTGGGAGTGCCCCCGCTTCGAAAAACTTCTAGGTCCGCCCCTGCGTCCAAATATTACTCCAATTCAAACTTGACACACATATTAAGCAAGTGAGAAATGTGTGATCTAAAGTTGCGCTAAAGAGAGAGAAAGTGGGACAAATGCTGTGAACCACACATTCTTTGTCAAAATGAAAAAAAGAGTGTCACAGGACTTCATATGTTTTATTGGCATCCCGTATCCGTGTGAACGCCCCAAGCAACACTCTTTCTTGCACCACCTGCAAGTTGCCCACCACAGTCCGGTCTTCGGGTCCTTCCACTTGTTTTGCATAAGGGAAGATGTATTTTCCATATTTAAAATGGTATATGTATAAGTAGGATTGTAGGAATGTAGGATAATAAGAGAAGATGAAGATGGAGAAGAGTTGGAGAAGAATTGGAGAAGAGGTGTTGAAAAATGTTAGAAAATAGATGTATTTATAGATGTTTTTGAACCCCACTCCCCACACCACCACCCCCGGGACCCCCCTGCCCCCCTCCCATAGCCCCAACGGCTATATAGCCGTTTGGGAGGTTTGATTTCAATTTTTTTTTAAGTTATACATATTGTAAAATAAATTAATTAATTTAATGAATTAAGTAAAACTAAAACTATTTGTACTTAGAAAAGTGGTTTGATTTATAATTTACAAATGTTACAAAATAGGTGTATAAGTATTTAAACAAATTACATATTGTAAATGTATTTTTAATTTAAAAACCGGCTTTATATTTTAGAAAAATAATTTTAAGTCGTTAGTTTGTAACCAATTAATTAATTTGAGAAGTGCTACATATGAAAAAGTGAACACATATTTATTTGAAATATGAAGTACAAGTTTACAAATTAATTTGAAGTACAACTACAAATTTACAATTTTGAAATATGAAGTACAAGTTTACAATTTTGAAATATGAAGTACAAGTATAAATAAATTTGACAAGTGCTACAAAATACATTTTATAATAAATTCTAAAATACTAATCAATCGGAATCTCCGGCATAGGTAGAGCCACCATCGGTTGTTGAGTCATCCATAAAATCTTGGGAAGGGGTGATGCTCATTTCTTGAGTTCTACGTGCGGCCTTCAACCAATCGTGGTAGCATATAAGCGTCTCAAGAGACTCCGCGCTCAATCTCGATCTAGATGCCGTTAGGACGTTGCCGGCCGAACTAAATTCTTGTTCCACAGCAACTGTTGAAATCGGCATTGATAGTACTTGCTTAGCCATCCGTGCTAAAATCGGGAACGTTCTTTCTTTTGACTTCCACCAGTCTAGAACGTCAAAGTCATCATTTTCTTCAAAATCAACTTCATATGTTAAATACAAAGTAATCTCATTCAATGCACTTTGTTCAGTGACGTGAGTTGTTTTTATTTTTTTCATAATATTGCCAAATGCAGATTTAAAAATCGATTTTCCTTTAGATGAAGATGTTCGTGACGGGGGAGGGGGAGCGTTGCTATATTGTGCACGAAACTCATTAAATAAGGCATAAAATAAAGTACTAACCTCGTTGTATTCCGTTTTCGGATCTATGGGGTTATCGTCATACATTGGAAATTCACCAAAAAACGCAAGATAATAGAAGTTGAAACAATCTTCCAAATTAGCAAGTCTATAACGAGGATCGATAATAAATGCAATACCATAAATATGGGGAATATGCGCATAATATTTTAAAAACTTTTCCTTCATATGATCACAAAAATAATGAACGAAAACGGCATTCTCAAATTCTTTAAAAGCACCGGCGAGATTAACAGCTTCACGAATAAATTGGTTTGCGGTAGGTTTATAAACATGACTAAAAGTTTCAGTAGCATTAAAAAAAATATCAAAACATTACAAATTTTTTCGCAAGTGTCGATCTCAGCCGCGTTTATAATATAGTTATCATGTTCTTTTAAAAAAGCATGAAAATATTCTTTATATCTAAGAACAACTTTAAGTAATTTATAAGTACAATTCCAACGAATACTCAAATCTTTAGGAAAAGCAACATATCTCACACCTCTTTCAGTCAAATAAGTTTGTCATTTTAATCTAAGTTGACCATTACCCCAAATACGTCTAATCCCCCCCTTGATTATCTCCATGGAATCTCCTAACACTTTTAAACCGTCTTGCACACATAAATTTATAACATGGCATGCACACCGTTGATGAAAAAATCTACCCATCAAAGTATTGACACCACACAACTCACGCAATCTAGGTATAGCAGCAGTATTATATAGCCACCCAACGGCTATATAGCCGTTTGGGAAGTGGCTGTTGAGCCAAAATGGGTTTTTTAAAATTAAAAGAATTTTTTTTTTAAATATGACCGTTAGGCCCGGGCCCGGGCCCGACCCGGCCGGGCCGGGCCACCAAAAACAGAACCCGAGCCCGGACCCGCTACTCCCACCGGTTCGGTGCCCGAACCGGACCCGAGAACCGGGCCGGTTCCGGGCCTATACAGTGACGGGCCGGGCCGGTCCCGGGCCGGGCGGCCCGAACCGGGTCCACCACTAAGCTGAATTTCTATGGCCTGATTTACGTTAAGTCTGGTCTAATAGTATGTATGTCTGTTTGATAAACATATAATGCATTCGAATTTTTCTATCATCTAAATTTAGTGTCACTCTAATGTGATACTCCCTCCGTCCCAATTTGATGATCTCATTTCTTTTGGACTCAAAGATTAAGGAAGTGGTTGAGAAGGTAAAAGTTGTGGTTGAGATTTGAGTAGAAAAAGGTGAAATGATGTGGACCACATATTTCTTTCCAAAAAGGGAAATGAGACTATCAATTTGGGACGACCCAAAAAGGAAATACGGGATCATCAAATTGGGACGGAGGGAGTAATATGTTTAAACTCAATCTAGTTTGGGACGGAAGCCTCTTTGATAAAAACAAGCTTTGTCCTTCTATGATTTTGTCCTTCAATAAACATAGTAAGTATGTTTTTACTTGGACTGTAATTTGCTGATCTGGTTTGTTTAAGTTTGGTATGATCTGATTTATTTAAGTCTGGTCTGGTCTGATCTGATAAATGTCTAGTCTCTATGTATTTTATAACTATAGACGTCAGGTCTGGTCTTTTAAGTCTTGTCTGGTCTTGTCTGATCTGTTTAAGTCTGATTTAATTTGATATGATCTGTTTAAATTTGGTCTGATTTGTGATCGAAAACCATCCAATAAAAACATCGTAAATGAAAGATTACAAGTTATAAAAACTCTTGAAAATAGATTGTTCAATTCAGTACCAAATAAGGGTTTATATGAGACCAAATGCGTATTTGTATTTTCCTTATATTCCAGAAAATATATTTTGTTTCCAGCCACAAATAAGTGTGGGGTATGACCAAGGACAAAATCGGCAAAGTGGGTTTTACCGGAAGGGGCTAGGAATCCGACAATCCGTAATCGTCGTTTTGTGTCTGATTGATACAACCCCTATTTGAACTTTGTTTTCATTTACTGGAGTGGAGTAATTCATTCATTGTAATTTCATAATTTATACTCCAGGTTTCAATTCCTCCCCTCTCCTATTCATATACGGATTACCATTTAATCACAGGTTCTGACCCGGAAAAGATATCTGCGGATTCCAGCTGTTTCCGATCCAAACTCTCCAACTCTTTTGAGTTCGTTTTTTAGATAGTAAAGTCAAATAGAAGTAGAGCAGACACAGATACAAGAAGTTTAGTTGATGATTCCAATTTGGCATTGTTGGAGCTGGGAAAATCTGGGGTAGATTTAAAACGTGTTCTGCTATCAGGTATATATTAGAACCTGCTGTCTTCGTTTCCTTTTCCCTAAAATAATTGCTGCTTTGATGAATTTCATGGACATAACTGTAGTTGACTATAAGTGCTTATCAGGTATAAATGTGTTCTGTTTGTTCCAACGAGTTATTTTTCTTAGCTTCATGGCTTCTTAAA